ACTGAAAGAGAAAAATAATGACAAATATTAATGTTCTGCACTACTTCAAATAAAGAAACCAAATAACAGAAACCGCATCACTTGAGGACTACCAACTTAAAATGGATAGCAAATGTAACTGAAAGAGAAAAATAATGACATAATCAAGATATTAATGTTCTGCACTACTTCAAATAAAATTGTACCAAATAATAGAAACCACATCACTTGAGGACTACCAACAGCAGCAACAATTAAAATGGATAGCAAATGTAACTGAAAGAGAAAATAATGACATAATCAAGATATTAATGTTCTGCACTACTTCAAATAAAGAACTGTACCAAATAACAGAAACCACATCACTTGAGGACTACCAACAGCAGCAACAATTAAAATGGATAGCAAATGTAACTGAAAAGACATAATCAAGATATTAATGTTTCTGCACCAAATAACAGAAACCAAATCAAAGCAGCAACAATTAAAATGGATAGCAAATGTAACTGAAAGAGAAAATAATGACTAATCAAGATATTAATGTTCAAATAAAGAACTGTACCAAATAACAGAAACCACATCACTTGAGGACTACCAACAGCAGCAACAATTAAAATGGATAGCACATGTAACTGAAAGAGAAAAATAATGACATAATCAAGATATTAATGTTCTGCACTACTTCAAATAAAGAACTGTAGAAACCACATCACTTGAGGACTACCAACAATTAAAATGGATAGCAAATGTAACTGAAAGAGAAAATAATGACATAATCAAGATATTAATGTTCTGCACTACTAAATAAAGAACTGTACCAAATAACAGAAACCACATCACTTGAGGACTACCAACAGCAGCAACAATTAAAATGGATAGCACATGTAACTGAAAGAAAAAATAATGACAATCAAGATATTAATGTTCAACTTCAAATTTCAACTGTACCAAATAACAGAAAAACCACATCACTTGAGGACTACCAACAGTAAACAATTAAAATGGAATGAAAGAGAAATAATGACATAATCAAGATATTAATGTTCTGCACTACTTCAAATAAAGAACTGTACCAAATAACAGAAACCACATCACTTGGAGGACTACCAACAGCAGCAACAATTAAAATGGATAGCACATGTAACTGAAAGAGAAAATAATGACATAATCAAGATATTAATGTTCTGCACTACTTCAAATAAAGAACTGTACCAAATAACAGAAACCACATCACTTGAGGACTACCAACAGCAGCAACAATTAAAATGGATGGAAATGTAACTGAAAGAGAAAATAATGACATAATCAAGATATCAACGTTCTGTATTTCAAATAAAGAACTTAACAGAAACCACATCACTTGAGGAGCAAGCAAATAATTAAAATGGATAGCAAAATTTTGAAAGAGTAATGACATAATCAAGAATTAATGTTCTGCACTACTTCAAATAAAGAACAGTACCAAAACAGAAACCACATCACTTGAGGACTACCAACAGCAGCAACAATTAAAAATGGATAGCAAATGTAACTTGAAAGAAAAATAATTTCTTTTTTAGTAATTGTTCACAAAAAGCAAGGCTCATGAATCACTCAAGGTAGAGAGTTAATGAATGATGTTGAGTAGAAGATAAAAAGTGTGCAGTTTAAGAGTTTATGTCGGAAAGATAACAGTTAACCCTAGACGTTAAGACTGCAGTGATTGGGAAAGTAGCACCTTGGGTGTCTGTTCCATGAAGTAGTAGTTTTGGTGGAAAAAAACTGTCCAAATTGAACTTCCTTCTTATTAATGGAATCCAAAGGAAATGGGGATTGTTCATTCAAGTGTATGTGGCTTCGTAAGTCTGAAGATCTCTGTCAGTGCTACCTAGTATCATTTGAAATTTGTTCGTACTTGTTTATTTTTCCAGTGTCTTGGCTGCATTTGTCATGTACATGTAGTGTTCTTGTGTAGAAATCTGGTTCATGCCCTGCATGTTGTCATCAAGTGTTCAGCGCCTTTAGTGGTGCTGCTGAATTTTCCGTCCCTCCTTGATGGCAGATACCCAATCAATAAAAAGAATAACCCTTCTATATTAAATGGTAAAAGTCAGTTCTTCCCTGATTAAATCACCAGAGTAAAGTCACAGGAGAGATTACCTGTTAGCTTCTGGTCATTTAGACTACCTTGTCTTGGCTAGCTTAGAGAAAGATCATTCTAAATCCCAAATATTTAACCAGAGAGGAAGATTTTATTTCATTTATCCCTAAATAAAGCAATAAAGCCACTAAGACACAAGGGAGTACTGAGTTTGAAAGAATAAGAAAAAGAAAATATTATTATTATTAAGGAGAGAGAACAATAAAAGTAAAGGAATCAAGGAGACAGTAGATAACGATTGATATTGCAATTAAATTTTTGAAGATCAAAGTTGGCTAAAAAGCAAGAAGCCAGAAGAGAGTTCTACAGGTGTAAAAAGAAATAGTTAGCAGAGAACTTACTGTTATATCTAGCCAATTCAATTGTAAAACGATGAGATGTTTTTACCAATCTATTAGTTTTTTACCATTTCACCCCAAGCAAGGCAATAAAGCCACTAAGACACAAGGGAGTTCTGAGTGTGAATAAATAAAAAATTGAAAACATTATTAAGGATCGAGAACATTAAAAGAAAAGGAATCAAGAAGACAGTAGATAATGACTGACATTGCATATAAATGTTTTAATCATTTCACTCCAAGCAAGGCAGTAAAGCCACTAAGACACAAGAGGTTACAGTGTGAAAGAATCAGGAAAAAAGATATTTTTTAAGGAGCAAGAACAATGAAAGAAAAAGAATCAAGAAGACAGTAACATAACAGCATCTGTCTGTCTCGAGACATGATGGAGTAGCGTAGTGCGCTACGAGCCTGGGCGGGATATATGGAGAACTAAGGCTGCCCAGACATCTCATTCCCCCTCTAGGCCTTGCTAGCAGAGTCCAAAGGAGAGGATAAACCAATACAGTTTGGTACCAGTGTGGCTTCAGGAGTTGCTGGAAGGTAGCACAAAGTGATGTCCATCCGCCTTAGGGGCTCCACTCCGGATTTGAATTCAGAGTTGTCCTTCTCCTAGACCAGTTGCCATCCAAGGCTATAGAACCCAGTCTGTCCTGCTATTTATCCATAGCTGGAGGGAGAAGAATAGGATTCACACTTTTCCCAAGGGTATTAGCACGTAAGTGAATGTAATGGATTTGACTGGAATTCGAACTCAGCTCTCCGATTCCTCAATCTAAGCCGCTATCCATTACTCCACCATGCCTCCTCAAGAAGACAGTAGATAATGATTAACATTGCATTTAAATTTTTGAAGCTCAAAGTTGGCTGAAAAGCAAATTCTACAGGTAAAAATTGTGAGAAAAGAAACTTTTAGAAGAAAACTTACAGTTACATCTAACCAATTCAACCATAAAATGATGAGACCTTGCAATCAATCTAGTACTGTGCTTACATTCATAAAGCCTAGGTACCATAGAGCAAAGTTTATCAGAACAATTACCATGAAAGTTATTATAGAAAAGACACAGGGAAGCTATGTTATGGTGGTGGGAAAGTGATTGAAGCAGATTAGGACCAATAAAAATGGACATACTTCTTTGGATTTTATCCAGAATCCCTAAATATTTAGCAGGAGAACCAGACCAGATGTGGCAGCAATATTTGAAGTATGGACAAATGGTAGACTTATAAATATGTTTTGTGACAATAATTTGAGATTGCAGATTTTAGAAGTTGGCAAAAATTAAGTAAAGTACTGACACCCACCAAAAATTAATGAAAATTAAGATAAAGTTCTTAAATAATCATACGTTGGGATGAACACAATGTGAATGGGATGCCATGATCATGAACATCTGAAGAGAGTGACACAGGTGTATAGAAGCAATAATTCCACAAACTGTCCCAATAAAAGTCGCAACGACAAGCAGATCTTAGAGAAAGGGAAACTGTGGAGATCCATGACCACTATCCTGAAGGTATATAGTTTTATTACTCCCAGTGCTGACTGCCTTGATTTTAATTTCTTTTATTGCAATAAAGAAATTTAAATAATTTTTTAATGGCATTTTGAAATGTTTCTGCTACATCCTAGACTCAGCACGCACACAAAATGAAAAAAAAAAATTTCTTCTCCTTCTCACAAACTAATTGCTTCCTTCCTCTTGTCATGTAAAAAAACCAAAAAAAACTTCCAGTCGAATATCGACAGGAAATTTGTTTCAGTAATTAACACGATTAATAATATTACAAATTGAAGGAGGTGTGATTTTTTTTTTAATAAAATGATTGGTAACAAGGATTTGTTAAGGACAGAGAAATACTGAATGGCAGGTTTTCCTTTAAAATTGATCAAGGGTGGGAGCGGATCTTCTATGTTGGAGAAAAGGAAAAAAATCTGTTTATTCAAACATCTGGAGTTTCTTTTCATACTGTTCTGTTTGTCTTAAAACCACGTTAAGCAGATGCTTCTTAGACAGTGGCAACACTATCTCTAAAGCCTTCTCATTATAGATTATTCTTGTGTTTTTCATTCATCCTTTCTTTCTTTCTGCCTTCCATTCTTTCACTCATTCAGTCATTCATTTTTTATTTCATCTCTTTCAGTTTTTGTTTCTCTTTCCTTCAGTCATCTTTTCATTGCTTTATATTTTTCTCTCCTTAATTCTTTTTACTTACAGATATTTCTTTCATTTTTTCTTTTTCAATTTTTTCAATATTTTTTCATTTTTTCTTTTTTCACTCTTTCATTTTGTCATTCATTCATTTCTTTCTTTCAGTCTTTCTTTCCTTCTTTGTTTTTTTTCATTTTGTCATTCTTTCTGCTCTTCTTTCTTTCATTCATTGACCCATTCACATGTCACACAGAATTAAAAGAAAAAAAGGATGAATGAAATGGAAAGGAAAAATGTTCACATCTTTCTTTCTTCTTGTTTCATTTACTTTCTTTCATTTTAGTTTTTCATTATTTCATTCTTTCTTTGTCATTAATTATTTCGTGTATGTCTTCTCTTCTTTCTACTGTTTCTCTTCCATTCATTTATTCTTTCCACAATATTTTTCTTCACTTTTTCAATTCATCTTTTAATTTGTTCATTTCTTTCTATTTTTCAGCATTTTCTTCAATCATCTTTCTTTTTTTTTTTCATTTTCCTTTCAGCCATTATTTTTTTCTTTTGTTTTTTGCTCCTTTTCCTTCCTTCCTCATTCTTTCTTTATTTCTGTTTTTCACTTTTCATTCATTTATTCATATATTTTTCTTTCATTCCTTTATTTGTCTTTCAATGATTTTTATTTTCCTTTGAATTTTTTCATTCATTCCTTCTTTCATTTATTTATTTTATCTGGCATTTTTTTTTATTCAGACTTTTTTTTTTTACCTTCCTTCCTTCCTTCCTTCCTTCCTTCCTTCCTTCCTTCCTTCCTTCCCTGCTTTCCTATTTCTTTTTAATTAATTGATTCATCACTCATCTTTACTTTATTCTTTCTTTTCTTCTTTCCTCTTTTTGTCATTCAGTCATTGCTTTTTATTCCATTCATTCTTTTGTATTCTCATTATTTTTTATTCTTTCTTTATTATCTCATTCTTACATTTTTTCTTTCTTTAAATCTGTCCTTCAGTCCTTAACTCTTTCATTCTCTCTTTCCTTCTTTAATTCATTTTTCTTTTTATTTCTTCTCTTTTTCTTTTCTCAAATTATTCCCTTCTTTCTTTCATTTCACTTTTATTCTTTCCTTCTTTTCTTCATTAATTTATCCTTTCTTTCATTTTTTCTTTCTTCTTTACATTCATTCATTGTCTCCATGTTTCATTCCCTCATTCATTCTTCCATTTATTCAGTCTTTCTTTCATTCATTTCTTTCTTTTATTATTTATTTCAATGTTTTTTTTTCTTCCTTTCATTCATGGTTTCTTTCTGTCTTTCGGTCATTCATTTTTCTTTATCATTTTTTTCTGAATTCATTCTTCAATATATTGTTTCTATCATTTCCTTCCTTCATTCCTTCCTTCCTTCCTTCCGTTTTTCTTTATTCCATTTCTTTATTTTCTTCAGTCTCTCTTTGTTTCATTCATTATTTTTTAAATAATTCTCTCATTTTTTTTTTCCTTTCATTCTTTTCAAATATTCATTCAATTGCATTATGTATGTTATTTATTTTTCACCAATTCTTCTTCTATGTGCCACATCCATTCAGGATATGGGAACTCATGGCTCTCCACAACTTTCTTTGTTGTCTTTTTTCTATCTTTCCTAATACATGTTCTGCCAACTAATTACACAAACTTGTCAGATAGATTACATTCTGATTTCCTCTGACCGTCTTGACTTCAATATGTCCTGAGAGTATCAAATTTTCCAAGCACTTTTTCCTCATTAAGTGTCCTAGAAATTGCAACCCTCTCTTCCTGATATTAAGTATAAGGGTTCTTTTTTCTTCTATTTTCTCTAAAACTTTGTCATTGTTCACATGTTCAATCCATAGTATTCTCAGAATCCTTCTGTAGAACCACATTTCTGTTGCCTAAGTCTATTCTTCATCTGTAAGGAAATTGTCCAGCATTCACTGCAATATAGAATTGATATTACTTAACAGTCTGGTATTCTTTTTCCTGTTTAATAACAAAATTTTCTTGTTTCTTAATAATTTGTTTAGTTTTTGAAAGGCATTTTCACTATCCTAATGAGCCTTCATTATTCAGTGTTGTATTTTCCATTCCATAAAAAAACACTTCCCAGATAGTCAAAGTTTTGCACTTGCTTGATTTTGGTGTCTCATGTAAAAAAAACTATGTTTGGAAACATGTCCAAGTACCTGTTGTGGGAGCAGTCACCTTCCAAACACAGATTTAACTATTTACATTATTTGTATTGTTTCAGACTGCTGTCCTCATCTTTATTGTCATATTCATGATGTTTCAACCATTGTATACTCTGGCCTTCTTCAGGTGATATATATTGGAATTTTGAACCAAACCTTTTATTTCCTCCATGGGGTAGATTTTTCCACATGCCATATTTTCTGGATATCTCAGTTTAAGTTAATTCCCTTTAGTAATTTAACTATCAAAGTTTTTGTTCACCTCTGCTGTGGCCAGGTATTGAACTCACAACTCTTTGGTTATGTTACTTTTAGATTACTTCAACCAATGATTTATCCCAAAGGACACATGACCCATGATAAACGTAATGGTTGAAGTAATCCAATGACTTGACTAAAAGAGTTGTGAGTTCAATACCTGTACACAGCAGAGGTGAACAAAAAAACTTAGAGAGTTGATTTACTAAAGTGAAATAACTGATACCCAGAAGAGGCATGGTATGTGGAACTAGAACAATCTACCCTTGTGGAGTAAAAGTGTTTGGTTCAAAATACTAAAGAATATCACCTGAAGAATGCTGGAGTATACAACAGCCAAAACAGTGAATATGGCAATAAATATGGCAGTAAAGATGAGGACAACAGTCCAAACAATGTAAATAATGTATATAGTTGCAATACCTCATTTCAGAAATATAGACTGATATTGACATATTTAACTGGGATGTGTTTTAACAGACAATAGAAAATGTGTGATGGAAATGCAAAGGAACATTCGAATAGCAAATGATGCATGCCTTCCAAATACTAGACAGTTATCAAGAAACAGAAAAACTTTACAAATTACACAAAATTTATTAGGATCACTTAGAATGATTACTTGACTACTCATATAAATCCAAAAGTAATTTTAGTTGGCAATAAGTAAGAGAAGGCTATAAAATGGCACTGTCGATTATTTATGGCTAAATCATTTAAATAATGCATTGACTATTGTTTACATCATATGACAATAATTGTAAGTAGAATAATGCACTAAAATAAGTAACTAAGTATTCATTTTAAATTATCTTACTATTAGAAAAAAAAAGACTGCTGAACTTCTCTGTACTATTGTTGCAACCTAGGGAAGGTTACTGAATAGAATAATCACATGAGGGTTGTTAATGAACGATAATACTTAGGACAAGAACAACACATATAAGATTTGCCAGCAGCACATAGAAGTAGTCAACAGCTAGAAGTGAGTCAAGTGAATTTCACAATGAATTTCTAACAGCAGAACAACATACAGTATTTACTACTATATTTATGTGAATGGGGACATACCTACACATTATGCTACAACAGCTATCATTCCTCGTATATGACAGTGAATGCTGGACAATTTTTTCACAGATGAAAAGACTTGAGGTAACAAGAGGCATGGTTTTAAAGAAAGATGCTAAGAATACCATGTACAGAACATGTGATCAATGAGGAAATTTTAAGGGAATTCTAAGCAGAAAAGGCACTTGTATTTATATTAAGTTGAGACATAATAAGGAAAGAGAGCTTGGAGAATTTGACACTCACAAGACATACTGAAGCCAACAGGAGCAAAAGGAAACATTGACAACCTACCTGATGAGATTATGTAAATGGATGACAGAAAAAGGGGTGTGAAGTGTCGTAACGGGAGAAATATTGCTTTGAGGTACAAAGGATAGAAAATTGTGGAATGCCGTGATTACCCACGTCCAGAAAGATCATGGCACATAGAAGAATAAATACAAAAAATACTTTCTACAATTATTTCTTTAAAAAGGGGTTGGTTAAATTTCAACACATAATACCTTATTAGAAACACTTAGTGCCAGTTGCATTGGAATTTTTTCAGATTCTGAAATGATATTACAGCTAACGAATATAGGGCAGACAGCAAAGTTGATCATTAATCACACAAGAATCTGGGACACTTTTTAACATTTTCATGGCTATCAAAGACAAAAATTTCCTAAAATAAAAAAATGTCTGTAAGCAGTAAAGTTTTGGTTGACTAATGGCAAAATTATGTTTCCACACAAATAACATTCATTGGCCAGAATGTTAATATTATAAAATCTTTCTCTTAAAACATGTCCACTAACTGTGTCTGTCTATATTTCTGAGAAACTTAAGGAATCAGCACATATGCTAGGCCACAAAAATCTCTTGAGCTGACCAAGCATAGAAATAAATACAATATGGGAACCAGTAATAAGGAGTGCCAGAGAAAAGCAATGATAACAACAAAGTTGCAATATGAGCTCTGGTAAAAACATGATATGATAACAGCAAAATTGCAATATGAGCACTGGTAAAAATGGTTGCTGAAGACATTAGGTTTATAATACCCAGAAATTCATACCCAGATGTCCTCAAAGACACATAGCACAGTGAATAAAGACATTGTTTAGTGACAGGACCCAAAGAGTGTGAGTTCAATACCTGGTTAAGGCAGTGGAGAACTTTCAGAGGGAAATTAACAAGAGATAACTGATAACTGACGTCCATCAAACATGGCACATGGAACTAGAACAGTCTACCCCAGTGAGTGAAATAAAGGGTTCAGTTTGACATTCCAGCGGCCGAAACGTTGTAATAAATATGGCGACAAAGATGAGGACAATAGTCAAAATAATGTAAATAATGTCCACTAACTGTTCCCACTTTTTAGTACTGGTGAGAGTTCACTTTCTAAACTTTTGTTTAAAGTCATCTGAAAAATCATCATCTAGATTATATAATTATTTTCCTTTCTGATTACATGTACTATTCATTTTAGTTGTTGCTGTTGTTGGTAGACCTCGAATGATATGATCTTTGTTATTTGACAAAGTGCCTTGTGATTCTGTAGCATTAATCTATAAAATCTGATGAAGTCATGCCTTCATCAAGACCTAGAGAATTCATTCTCTTGAAACCATCTTTAATCTGAGAAAACAGTTATATATATCTGATAGTTGGATGTTATACATGAGAGAGTCCCAAGGCACAACTGCAGTTATTTAGGTTGAACCAAGATTGTCTCAAAATAATAACAACCATTCAAGGCTACAAGGCCTGAATAAGTGAAGTGAAAGTATATTTTGAGATGTGAGCCATGTTTGGCACCAAATATGAGCTTTGCTGTGCAAACGACACGCATGGAAAATATACTTTGCTTTAGGACCTTTTCAAATTTTCCAGAATTTCAAATAGGAGATTTCATACTTGTATACAACTTAGAATATGTAAGTACATTTATAAGTCTGAAAACTTGTAGTGGAAAAACATTTATTCTAGACAACAAATAATTATTCTTCCCTAAGAATCCCTATCTCTCATATATTGGTTGAAGATTTTCTATTTAATGTAGTCTTAGTATGATTTGTATGATTGGAGATATAATTTTCTTATAGGCATAAAAATTTATGTATCACATTAGGTTTTATTCATACTGGAATTTGTATTATTAGTAAAAAATAAAAATAAATTTTTATCTTTTTAATATATATATATATATATATATATATATATTAAAAAGTTAAAAATTTATATATATATATATATATATATATATATATATATATATATATATATGTATGTGTGTGTGTGTGTGTGTGTGTAGGAAAACGGTTATAATTGTTCCAGTGAGAGAAAATGTCTATTTGTTTATAATGTGGATTTGTTTTAGTGTATATTTTATTCTTCATATTTTTGCTGCACACGTTTCCAGTCTTGTAACCTTCTTCAGGCAAATTAAAGGAATCAGTTTTTAAAAGAATAAAATTTCCTTATGTTTTTTAAATGTTTCATTGTTCATTTTCTGTATTTGTAGTGAGCCTTCATCTCATTTTTTCGACTGTTAGCAAAAGTGAATTTCTGCCTAAGTGGTATATATATATATATATATGTGTGTGTGTGTGTGTGTGTGTGTGTGTGTGTATTAAAAGTGCCTAAGTGGTAGGTATATATATGTATGTATTAAAAAAGTTCAAATTTCTATTTTTATTTTAAAAAAATTCAATATATATATATATATATATATATATATATGTTGTTAATCTTATATGTTTATTTTTATTGTTGGATGATGTATATTATTTTTATAAACTTTTCATGTTTTGAGTTGTTAGGTATCTGATTACAATAAAATAAGTTATATTATTTTTCTTGTGATTTTATATTGTTATATCTTTTTGTACGTTCGATTTAATTTGTTTTTCAATTACATAATTTGTAAATACATTGTTAGAGTTTCTTTG